TTATTTTTACTATCTGACTTTAAATAGGTCAGTATCAGTATTCACAATTCTCAGCGACATGTCTTGTAGTGGTAACAATCTCATTTAAATATGGAACACATTGCTTCTCCCTCATATTCCTCTCCACCTGAGTTCTCTCTCGTTTGCTTTTTACTGAGTCTTTTTTTCATCTTATCAACTTCTTCAATAAATTAAACATTTTAAACCCTGTTATGATCAAAATCTGATTTTTTTTAAAAAAGATTATGTTGTAACAACCGTAATGAACTTGTCCAATAATGAGGATTTCCTTCCAAAAACTACAATACACACAAACAACACACGACGAACCATCCAAGATGAACATCTGGCAGAAGACTAAAGGAGGCTGTTTTCTCTGACAGTTATTCAATTGTTTTAATTTAGCTTATTTCAACCAGCTGTTTAGTCTTTTAATCTGGCACATGATCGCAAAGTCTTTAAGATTTTTTACAGCCCTGAAACCTCGTATCCTTAAATATTCCTCTAAAGAAGAACAAAGAAAAAATGAAGAAGGTAAACATTTGTGTTTTTGCATTTAACTTGACAAGGGTTTTATAAAGACAGAGGCAGGGCAAGGGAGGCTACTGCGTGTATTAAGAGAGGAAATGTAGAAAGCGTCCAGATACTGTCATTCTGTGGGAAACACTGATGGAGACTTTTTTTACACAACATTACAGCTGGTATTTTGTAAAGGGGTTTTTCTTTTTCAGACAGCTGCATTTCATTACGCTGCAGTTAGCAAGCATTTCCTACACAGTGGTATCAAAATCTTCAAAGATGGGTAAATGATCTGTAAGGGGAAGTATATGGCGGTTTATTTCTATCACTAATCCCGGGTGCAATTAACTATAATCGTGAGCGTATTGTATTATTTCACACGCTTATATTAACGGCCACGCACGTCATAAAACTCTTTGTGCACAAATTCAACAAATTGATCAACAGAGAGCTGCACACAGGCAGCTGGGAAGGTGAAGTATAACACAAGTGAGGCAAAGAATGTCACTGTCTGCTCTGCGAGTGCAGGACTGCAGCGCTGCTCTCTCTCTTATGAGAATTTGAAGGTAGAGACCAGCGCTGGGCTATTTCCCTCTTATGACTGGTCACTTTCAACACCATTACTTTGCACATCATCTGGGAAAGACGCACATCATCTAGGTGAAATTATAAAACTACAAATGACAAATGAACTCAGACGGTTCTTGCAACACTTAACTGCCTAACAGCCAGCATCACTGATATGAGCAAAGCAACAGGAAGGAAATCTGTTTTTCTGTCAGCATGAGAATTCACTAGCAGTACGGCTCAAAAGTCACTGAGCTGTGAGAAGCTAAAGCAAAAAGTTTTAGATAGCGCTGTTCCATTGAAGTTCTGTTCCATTGATGATGCTGGGCACAATCACACTGGAAACCAAAACAGGACATTTGAAGATGAAACACCCGAATGTAACTAGATCCAGTATGTTACACCATCAGGGTTGTATGTGATTTGAGTTGTTGGGCTGTGTCATTTCCATTATTCGCATCATACCAGCCTAAAACATTTGTTTTAAATCTGATAAATGTTTAGAGAGAAAGTTTAGTATCTTCTTCTGATGATGCCCTTGTAGCTGGTCAGTGCTGATCAAAACTGAACTGATTCTGGCTGCGTCAAAAGAGAATAGAGTTAGGCATTACATGTGTACAAAATTCCTTCTGCTTTTTAAAACGTGCACTTTGTGGAAATATTGAGAGTTTGTGGTGAATGTAATGAGGTTTGTCTTTTTTTCTATTCTGATGCTATTATTTAATGTCAATGTTTTTATCTGCGGATTTTCATGACTTGCCAATATCATTCTGCATCTCTGTGTAAGAAGTTGTGGATTGCAATCTCAAGCAAGTGCAACAGGTTTCCGAGTGTGGAGCAAAACCAGACAACTTTCCATGAACAACGTGACATGTGCCTCAGTGGTAGAGTCGCTCCTCTTCCAAACCCAAAGGTTGGGGGTTCAAACCCTGGCTCCTGCCGCCACATTTGAAGTGTCCTTGGGCAAAACAGTGAGCCCCAAATTGTTGTGCTGCATAGACAACAGTGTGTGACTGCATGTGAATAAAATAGAACTGTTGGGAGGTTTGGCCCCCTCTGCCATCAGTTTATGATAGTGGCATGAATCAGACAAATGTCGTTTAAAAAGCGCTTTGAGTGATCAGAAGATTAGAAAAGAATCAAGTCCATGACATGCATGTTTAAGTCATACGTATTGGTGTAACATGATTCTCTTTTTTCCTTGTTTGCAACACATCATACCCATGGATTATCTGTGAAGGTCAAAGCCGATTTGCAACTAACTCTCGAGCACAAATCAAAATGAAAATATGACTGATGCAGAGAAAGCTCCTTTTGCACCAATAAAACACCCAGAATGTGCCACTCCCGTACAACTATAGGCTCCTCCTGTAAGAGTCTAAGGGTGGTTTCACATTAGGGGACGCGGGCCAGGATCCAACTACGCTTGACCCCAAAATCTGGTAAATTTGATCAGTGTGAACACAAACGTACTGTATTTGTACCGTACTCAGTGACCGTACCGTTAGTCCGCGAGTGATGTGAACGCAACCATGCCCAAACAAGGAAGTGGACCGCTATTTGCTGAAATTCTAAACAGCTCTGGTCGCTTCAAAAAATCGTCGTATCCGCGCAGCACGGGTCGTTTTCATCGTCTGGGCTGCACGGTAGATGTGAAAGCAGGAAGAGAGTTTGTTGTTGGCGTCGCAGAAATAACAAACACATCCACAGTTAGCAGGATGGACTCTGGCGGATTTGCAAACCAACTATGTGCGTATTGCCGTCTGCTGTATTGGACTGTTAATATACACAAGAGCACTCGGGCATGGAGCGATGTTGCTAATGTGAACAGAGACCAGCGGGGGGGGAAGCAATCATGCGCCGGCACGGTACAAAACAGTCATGCCAAATGTGAAAACGCCCTAAATATGCAAAGAAAACGACACTAAAATGATTTGATGTTACCAACAACAGAGGCCATGCACAGATATGAAAACAGATGAGGCTGTGTGAGAAAACAGATTCCCTGGTAATAAAAAAAGACTATTTACAGATTCATCGATAAACTCGAATGATTCACTTTCACAGCCTTCGGTTGGAGGAATCAACAAAATAAGGAATCTGAACTGTTAATCACAGATGGAGCCTTGAGCTTGCATAACAATAAGGAGGAAGACGGGGAGACATCAGAGGTGTAGGATCAACATATTAAAACAAGAGGCTCTGGGGTTACAGGATGAGTGAGTGAGATCTGCAGGACACCACATTGATAAGTAGGTACTCAGTGGAACTTCAACAAAAGGGGGAACAAGATATGCAGTAGTCACACTGGGGAAAAGGCGAGTTCATTCAGCGGACTATACGCAGTAAACACATGCAAATGTAGGTTTAAAGGATTTAAGCCAATTCCCTTTTAAGACTTGAGTGTTTTGCATGTATCTGCCAAAGTGTATATTAATAAATAACTGATGAAGAAATTATCAGATCTTGTTGTTTTATGCAAAAAAAAGCCTCTCATAATCCTACATTTGCATTTAAAAACACAGCCTTACAACAGCCTTTTAACATCACACATCAAGAAGTCTTTACACCAGCACACAGCGGCGCATCAAACACATTCTCTTAAGATGAAAACAAACTGTTTTGATGTTATTCCAAACCTTCTGACAGATCAGCGGGGTGTCAAGAGGCATTTGAATGCGCTGTTGACCGTATGATGCTCAGCAAGGATCTCTAACAGTGACAGGCTTTTAAGAAAGAACAAACGCGGGATTCCTTCCATATTGTTGACACTTTTTAGCTGAGGTTTTACTCACTGTTTCAATATGCAGCACCCTCTGTATCATAGGAGGATCTGTGTGCTTCTATCTCAGTGACACGACCACAAGGACCACACTTTACACTCAGGGTTTTTTTTTAACAGCTTTTGAGAAAATCAAATAAAAAGAACTTTTATAGCAAAGTAAACTTTTAAAGCAACTACCAGTACCTCTCTTTTATTTTATTATATTCCTTTTTAAACCAGCCAGCTGCTCTTTAAAACGACAGCATGGCATATTGCTTAAGGGAAAATCAAACTCACCCTCATCTGTTTCAACACCAGGAGGCAACAAACTAATTTGATCATTTCATTCAAATATATTTTGGTTGACACGAGAAATTGTCTTTTTTAATTGAAATACTTAAATGTTTTTCCTGCCATTTCAAATTTGTATGAACTACATTTTGGACCATCTGACACTCACAACTAGCACCTGTGGGTTTTTTTTAATACAAAAATAATGTGTAACTAATAGCTAGTTGTTCAAGTGATGATAATTACAAAGTCCTGTTTCTTCACTTGTCAGCCAAGAAAACATCCCTTCACTAATTGCCTTTTCCTCCTTGTTAAGGATCAAAAGTCTGAACCATGAAATTCAGCTGTCCTCTTATCAGCCTGACAAGTTTGTCTGCAGCGTAAATACGCAGACTAATCTCAGCCTGTTTCGCAGTGATTGAAGCATCATCATCATTCTGTGACAGCAATTCTGCCATCATTTTCACATCTGCATGACAAGTACTCTGTCAAATTGCTTTGTCATGTTTGCTACTATACCAGCAAAAAGTTTCTCAACTTATAAAGCATCATCTCCCTAACTGTGTAGAGTCTACCATTTTTCCTTTTATCTACAGGCATGTTCTTTTGGTGTTTTTCCATATTGGTTTTCTTTTGTTTTCTTTTTGCATGACATCTTTTAATGTAAAATGCTAACTTTAGAAGAATGCACAATGTAAGGTTATTAACGTCATAGTGTTGTTTATAGTTGTTGTGTTACATTGGAAACAAATGGAAGTCAACCTCTCAGTAGCATACATGTGCATACATCCTGTCAAAGGTGGCATCTGTTGCCCTGAGTCCTGTTAGCGTGTCAGTGTCGTGGTGCTCGTTACTGTACCTATGATAACATGCGCCCCCAGTCTGGCCATGTGGCGGACTACCTCATAGCCGATTCCCCTAGCTCCTCCTGTCACTATGGCAACCTTGCCATCTTGTCTCGGCATCGCTGGCAGAGGCAGAAGAGGACAAACAAGATATCAGGGAGAATGTCATTTGATAAGGAAGCTGCTTGGACATGGTTCACTTTTCAAGACATTCTGAAGCCCTTGTAGTAAGACCTGCAGATGCTCGGCTCAACTATGATAAACATTTTGTATGTTTTGCTCTATCTTTTAGTCCCATTGTGTTCATTTTATAGAGTTCCTACAATGAGTTACCAGACTGGTTTTCCAACAAGAGAAGATATTCTGCCTAAAAGCAAAAGTAAAAAAAAGTATCACTTTATAGTCATAGCATGGTGGGACTTTTATAGTTTTCTGATGAACTTAATGACAAGGAAGTGAATAAAGAGAACAAATAACAATCTTGTTACAGTATGTCCCCCGTAATGCAATCCTAAAGATACATTATACAGGACACAATACATATACGAATATTCCTTTTTGTGTTTCCTGTGTTACCTTGTGTGCATGCCATGCTGTGTTATGGAGAGAAAGATTTTGATGGGTAATTAATCAAAACATATTAATTCATGTTAGTAGCCTAATTTGTAATACACACCTGACTGTTGAACTAATTAGTCACCTAATTATCACTTACAGTCAGGCACACACCAATTACAACTGATCAATACCATAATACCTGTTCATTTAAAAAAAATCCTGTTGGCCTCATAATAAAAAATGGTTAAACACTATCTAGCCTACTGAGTGAAAAAACAGGGGACAGTTCTGATAAGAGTTTACTGTATTGCACTAATTGACAGTCGGTTGTACTCTACTCTACTACTGAACTTCATTTAGGAGAGATAAGGTTACGTTCAGATGTACGTAGACCAAACTGCATGTTAAAAACATGAGATTTAAACCTACAACGACCTGTGATACACGAACTCGCTTGAAATATAATAACTTAAGAAAGGGGGGTACCTTTGAGCTTTCTGTCAATTTCGGCTGTTTTATATACAATACAGCACGTTGTTTCACTCGTGTTTTCTACTACACTTCTCTCAGCGTTAGCTAACTTTAACAATGACGTAGGCTACCTGCAGTAGACCTTAAACCCACCTGGCAACATGAAACGTCTACTGAAAAGCTGAACCAGCAGGACCTTCACACCAAGAAGGTACAGTTTGATAATTGGTAGGAGATAGGACCGGAGAGCCGACAACATCTCTGCCCGAAACTGTATCGTAGTGAGCGATACAGTCGCTACAGCGTAGCAGCAGCAGCAGCTCCGGTCTTAATGGGACAGTTCCGACTATGGGGTGCGTTCCAATATGACGTCGCCCACACTCGCCGCCTTCCTTGTCGTGTCATTTGAATAACTAAGGTTATTTTGAGTCCCGTTTGAGCCTGTTTGAAAATTGGCTTTTCATGAGAGTGTCTACTTGACTAATCGTCCTGACAGCTCAGTGGGTAGTTGACCTTGAAAAACACTGATCTCTTGCAGCTATCCATCACTTATCTTTAGAGGTGGAATTAGAGTTTGATTGAGGGGGCTCTTCACTGTTGCTTGGCTGCCTGATGTGCCATATGATCGCTCTCTGTAGATCCAGCATATTGCCCCCTTCAGCTCAGTGACTGTCTTATTAACTTCTGTCAGGCAGGTCACACATGACGGAAGCGACAGAGGCATGATAGCGCCCAGTTTGAGCCATAATTCCCCAGGTTAGACTGTAAGAACCTGTTTCTTGAGCATTAAGCTTCTGTCTGCAGCTCCTCTACACTTTGGGGAATAGGCTACTAGATTTCCCTCCACTGATTACTTGAGTCCACCATACCAATCTACTCTTTTTAGAGACTAGTCATACAGCTGAGGTAATGCTGAGAAAAAATATTTTCCTTTTTATATTGAGTTTAAAAGGGAAATAAAAAATTAACAGCATTTTTATTTAGCTACATTGTTGATTAAATAGCAGTAATAATAAAATCAATTTCACCTTCAGAGATAGACAACTGACATCTCATGTTCTAAACCATGTCTTCAAATCAGTACCAAACACACTCTTCCCTGATGATACTGACCAACTAGAGGAACATTTTATTTTGCTTAAAATGCCAAATGTACATAAAAATGTTTACTACACTTTCTCATCATTTTCTGCAGCTGTCATTTTTAACCTCATCCATAGAGCTAAGGAGAAGTGTTCAGTGCTGGAGTGGTGACTTTTTGCAAAGATGCTAAAGACATGCTGCATGCGCTAAGTCACAACCTGTATACAAATTGAAATGTTTCATCACACGAGTGAGCGTCATGAAATACAAAGAGAAACCACATAAGACTTCAATTATGAGAGCATCCATTTATTCATCCACATGCTTTTAAGGAGAACACACTCTCCCTCTAAAAAAGCTCAGCTGTACATGCTGAAAGTGGTTACATGAATGCCCTAAATGTGTTTAATGGATGATTGTGAAGCAAGGAGGGATCTTTTACAAGAGCAAAGATGGCATTCAGCCTTTTAACGTCTAATGAAAAGTTTATTTTGGTCTCTTGGAAATGAAAGACACTGAAAAGACACCTGCTGCCCTGAATCACATATACCCATAACAAAATGTTGAAATGGTAATGGCAGTCACTCAATTCAAGTGAGCCCACGAGAGTGGAAATTGATTTGGAGTAATCACTGAGTCTCTATTTGGTTGCTGTTTTACATGTATTTATATATAATATACAGTATAACCATGTCCCTAAAGAGATTCTACCAAAGAGACGTTTCCATTTTTAAACCCAGGCAGTTTAATCAAAATAACTACTGAAGAAAGACAAGTACAGAAAAAGTACAATAAAATAAATGAAAACGTACACATACACATAAATGGTCACAGGGGCCATTACTGCAGAGTGAGTACATTTCAGCTACTTTAGATGTTTCATGTACGCCTTAATTGAAATAACAAAGCTGCTCTCCTTAAACTTAATAAGAAAGAAGAAATTTTAAATCAGAACCTAAAATTACATTGCTGTATTGTTACCTTCACATAGAGAATCTTCCACCAAGTGAAATATACAAACATAGGCTGTATAAAACATGAATGAACCCAGTGATTTCTGAAGAGGCATTAAGAAGGCCACTGATGACAGTTGCCATATTTAAAATGCTGATTCCTATACTACCTTTGGTCACCGTATAAAAACTACACAAAAAAGCTGGCAGTCTTATGTCAGTTACAGGATTTGTCCAAAGTAACGCATAGTCTCCTGGCAAACAGCCTACAACATCCACACCCCCATTACACTGTATAACTCTTAAAATAACCTAAATGTGTTATAAAAAAAAAGTCAACCCCATACAGATTTTACCAATAAAACACAAGCTGACTAATGACTAAAACTCCTCTTTGTTCCAGGCTGTAAACATGCTTGTTTCTGCTGTAATATTATATTATATGTGCCCCAATGTGGATTTATTTGGTTATTAAAGCCAGTCTCCAAGTGGACAATCAAGGAACTGCAGTTTGTTGCACTTCCACATTGGCAACGTTTTCAATATGCCTCTTTTATTTACTATACTATATTTAAGCAAAATACCAGTATGAATTTAAGTGTAATTTGAGTAATTGTATCCACAGGGGCTGAAAAGGAAAAAAAAAAAGCAAAACTCAGCAGACACAAACCTCATTATCCAACAGAAATCCTGGCCACATCATTTGACTTGGAGTAGACAAAAACACATCTTAAGTCTGAACTTGGCCCCAAAAGAACGAGAAAAATCTTGACCTCTATATTTTTTTCATTTTACAAGCAAAAAAGCCCACAGCCAGATGGATTGTGTTTGACTAGCAGGGCTGAGCCATCTAAACTAGCACTGGCAATCAAAGGCCAACCAAACTCCCCCAGTCCTTCATTTGAACTAAATTACAATCATTTATGTTTAAAGACAGGTCCGGGCCATTGAAAATCACTTCCCTTTTTCTCTTGGCAGGGAAATCATTAGTATTAGACAGCATCTTGCCCACTTTCCAATAGTTAAGGTTCAGGCTAGAGCGGCAGCACTGACATGCTGTTGGCTCCAGTTATTTAAGGCTGCTTAGAAGGCGGATAAAACTGAGCAGCAACATGAAGGGACTGTGTCATCACCACGGCTCTGATGGACGCTGAGCTGTGGAGGCTGTGTGTATATTTAAATGTGCATGTGTCTCTATTAATGCCAGCTGAGATAATGTGTGTGTGTGTGTGTGCGTTGGAGTGCACGTGTGAGTGTTTGTTCCGTTGCAGCCTGAGAGGTTGGGGGGTCAGCCAGGCGAGCTACCCTGCCATTGTTTAAAGGAAATCGCATCTCACGCTTGACTATGGGATGATTATTTGGGATGATGGGACATCAGAGAGACAGTCCTTTACACACATACACACACACACACACACACACACACACAATGGAGACATATGAACACACATGAGACTTGCAGGGAACAGGACATGACAGAAGGCTGTGTGATCTAAATAACATGTGAACAGCATCGAAATAGCTCGAACTAACAGTCACCTAGTCTTATATGACAACCACTGGCTGGCTGCGAAGCCTGACTTGTCTAACTTTGTAAATCCAGGCTGACAACAGCTCTAAAGGACACGTGTGTGTGTGTGTGTGTGTGTGTGTGTGTGTGTGTGTGTGTGTGTGTGTGTGTTTGTGTGCTGCCAGTTCAAATGTAGGCTTTACTTCATGTTTGGCAGATTTATCCCTTATGAGAGGAGAAGGTAAAGGATTTTGGATATTTTTAGCAGCGAATGCCACCAACAGTTTCAAATGTGACGTTTTTGACAGGCCGTTCCTCAACACTTTCCCCCAAGTTTGCTTTTGTCACTGATCAACTGCCACCCAGGGGAAATAATAGGTGAAGTGTCATATTGTGAAGAAAGGGGATTTTCCAGGTTTTGACACGGGCAATTTGGGCTCCAAAGTGCAACAGGCTGTGTGAATTGATGTTGTCTGTTTCTCTAGGTTTGATCTGCCACTTTCAGCGTTTTTCCTCAGACAAACACCTCCTCCTCCACCTGAGTGGAAGACAATCAAGGATGGTCTCTAAGCTCTTGCAGACAGAGCTGCAGGCTACACACTGTCCCAAAATGAGACAGCATATTTGCATGTAGATGCAGAGAGACAAACCCTCTGAATTTCATTACTTAGCAATCTGAATGCACAATTATGTGTGCACCTATTTGAGTGAGATATGGTTTGTTCAAATAGCAGAAAGCACATGTCCATCTGTGTTCAGAGTGAGGGGATGATCAGGTTTTCCATATAGACACTAAATGCATCAGTCTAGATCCACCCCCGTCTGAAAAGCACAATACCAAAAAGAAAGTACTTACAAATAGCTGGGCATCTTAGGGATGCACTTTTGTAATTACATTTTTATGAGAAAATAAAGCTCATTGTATGTCTTTAAGCTAATTAAGAAGCCACACTCTGGAGTTGATTAGTTTAACTTATCAGGACTAGGAATGGGAGAAACTGCTTGCATGGTGAAGTCCTAATGGCAAAACACATACAATCTTATTTATGCTACTCTCAATGGTTTGGATGCTAGAAATACTTGCACTTGGCTGAGAAAAACTTTCAGCCACCAACTTCTTGTAAAAGCACAGATTAAGGTTTTTACATTTGGTTTGCATGCAAATTAGACAGTTGAGATACAATGTGTTAATAGACACTTTTCATTGCAGTAATCATGATTTGTCAAAGCAGAAAAGGCACAGGTGGAATTAAAACATTGATAATAGCGCATTGACTATTGCAACTCCCTACTGGTAGGGCTTCCTACATGCACTATCAAACCCCTGTAGGTGATCCAAAATGCAGCAGCACGTCTGGTCTTCAACCTACTCAAAAGAGCACAGTGTAACTCCGCTGTTCATCTCCTTACACTGGCTCCCAGTTACTGCTCGTATCAAATTTAAAACTCTGCTGCTCGCTTACAAAACAGCGAAAAAAACGTCTCTTCCTTACCTAAACTCTCTCATCCATATCTACACTCCCTCCCGCCAATTACGCTCCGCCAATTAAAAGAGTCTGATCCAACCTTCACAACAGATTACTAAGTCTCTGACTAGACTCTTCTCCTCTGTCGCCCCCCGGTGGTGGAATGAACTTCCAAACTCCATTCGATCTGTAGAGTCCCTCTGTACCTTTAAGAAAAAGCTAAAGACCCAGCTCTTTCATGAATACCTACGGCCTTAATGATGATGACGACGGTTTTGATATTATTGATGATGCGATGGTAATGGCGATGG